GGGGGGGCAGTTTTAATGGGTAGGCACTGAAACCGTCCACACTATGTGGGCGCCATAGGCGAGATTCTCTCACTATCTGGACTATCTTCCCAGATCTCCATCAAGGATTTCTCTCTTCCGTAAACAAGAAAAAGGTCTGTCTTTAGTATCAAACTTGCCCAGGGGTATGAGAGTGATGTTAGTCACAACATCTGTACCCTGGAGCCTGTAATCTCCTAAACATATAGCATATTTAATTAGGATATCGTTGAGGTATTGCCCACCACGCACTAGAGTGGGGACCCATGGCATCAGCCTTTGGAACAATTCGTTTTTCGGACCCCTGAGGTTGTACAATTGGTCCTTAAGCATGGAGTTAATTTTTCTACCTTCCTTGTTACCTTTGCCACATAGTTTGCGGTAGCCTATTCCTATTGACTCCACAACGTGGTGGACATTATTCCAAAACATGTATCCCATTATCACATCTAGCATAATGCTCGTGTTTGAAGGCGGTAGCTGACCATCCATGGCGTACATCACGCTCCTGTTTACTCGACCAATATGTCTGACTGTGTGTGTTAAATTTGTTACACCATAACCTATTGTCATTACATATTCCTTTTTCTCACCTAGGTTTGCATAAGCTCCCAGTATGTTAGATAAGCCTCTAGTTTCTCGCAATACTTCATACAGCTGAGGCAATGCCCCTAGGTACTCAAATAAACCAGTGACTTTTTGCCAATACATGTCTGGAGTCATCAGTATACCAGTAACTGTCCTAGCACTCTCATCACCTGTGATATAAATGAGAGCAGCGTCTGCGTGTACTTTTATAGAGGTATATACGAGGTCTGTCCCAAAAGTATCCGACCTTCCTTCATATTTCCCTGCTGGTGTTATCCTGCGTCATCAGGCTGGTGGCATCCTTCGAAGTAGTCCCCATTTGATTGTAGAATACTCTGCCAACGACCTTTCTACTTATGGAAACAGTCCTGGAACTCGATTTTCGGAATAGCTTTTAGAGCGTTCATCGTATTAGTTTCGACCGTTTCTTTATCGTCGAATCGGTGTCCTTTGAGTGGCATTTTCAATTTTGGAAACAACCAAAAATCGCAGGAAGCTACATCAGGACTGTACGGAGGCTGACAGAGTTGGTGCGTTGGTGCATGCGCTGGTGCGTTATCGTGATGAAGAAGCCAATCACCACTTGACCAAAACTGAGGCCAAAACTAGTTGTGTCCTTTGAGTGGCATTTTCAATTTTGGAAACAACCAAAAATCGCAGGAAGCTACATCAGGATTGTACGGAAGCTGACGGAGCTGTAAGACTTTGTGCTTCGTCAAATATTGCTGCACAAGATTCGATGCATGCGCTAGCGCATTATCGCGATGAAGAAGCCAATCACCGCTTGACCAAAACTGAGGCCAAAACTAGTTTT